CACATCGTTCACTCACCGTTCGCTCTGCGTTCGTTCACCGTTCGTTCACCGTTCAGGTGGGAAAGTAGAACGTTTCAGGGACTGTAATAACGGAAGCAATTGGTAACCATGGGAATTCCATAGTTGGAAGGACTGGTCTCCAAAAACCACATAGTTATTGTCAATCAGACACTCAAGAATCTTTTTGATGTCCAGATTACTTGCAAATGAACAAATTCACCCTTTGTTTCTTATTATGCCACGACGGTGCGTATCATCACCAAAGTGGAGTCTAAAAAGTGCTTAATTAAAAAAGAAGTTAAACCTATTTTCTACTATTCATCTGCAATATTTGTTAAATAAAGGTGAGTTGAAGGTAAGCTTAATATTTTGTTGGTCTTTTGTTGTAACGCCGAGAATATAATTTGCAGCGATGCTTTTCTCTAAGGATTGTGAGTCCAGAGTTAACTGTGGAAAAAATTCCTATATGTATGGATCAATGGTAAAGCCCGAATGTACTCTTCTCTCAGGGGTTGCCTTAAGAGCTTAAAACGGTGCAATCAAACGCAGCTCTTTGCCCTGGATATTACATTTCTAAATTAAATAATTAATGATTTGTATTGGTTTTAAGTTTAATAACATTTTGGAAAAACGGCAAAGAAAAAATATACCAATTTCTGGTATCTTGTAAAACAAGACGGCATTGTTGCAACCACTATTGAAATACGACCACTTTTGAAATAATGTACTAAAATATATTTTAGCTTCTGGTGTATCTTTCTTAATTAATTGATTGTCTGTTGGTTTTCGTCGAGTCGGTCAGATTCAGCGGATGCTTGTTTATTACATTTGCATACATGTTTGAATTATACATGTAGGTATATAGGTCAGTTTAATTCTAAAAAAGCGGCCTTGTATGAATTGAAATTTCTACTAAATTAATTAGTTTATTGTGATTAGAACAGTATGTTTAATTCAGTCAAATATTTGTTTTAAGAGTTGGGACATTTCCATAAAGCTTGCAATGTGGGTTTGGTACTGAAATCGTTGTCAGCGGCTGTTGAAATAATTATTTTAAAATTTATTTGAATCATTGTTTAAAGCATTATTGAAATCAATATTTTAATCCATATTGAATTTTTTATTTCAAAAGTGAACATTATTTCAGTAGTGGTCGTATTTCAGTAGTGGTTACTACCTGTATTTTGTATTGAAATGCACTCTCACCCGCTATTGAAATAATTATTTCAAAAGTGGTCGTATTTCAATAGTGGTTGCAACCTATGGTTGTTACTAAAATGGACTCTCAACCATTATTGAAACAATTATTTCAAAAGTGGTTGGAACCTATTGTTGTTATAGAAATGGACTCTCAACTACTATTGAAATAATTATTTCAATAGTGTTCGTATTTCAGTAGTGGTTGCAATCTATGTTTGTTATTGAAATGCACTCTCAACCACTATTGAAATAATTATTTCAAAAATGGTCGTTATTTCAATAGTGGTTGCAACAATGGTATAGTCCCTTTAGGATTTTGAAGCTTTTAGGAATAAAACATGTACAATTTACAAAATGAGCTCTAATGATGGCATAGGGACAATCTCAAAATGTCATGTAAATCAATCCTATTTTCACTATTTCGCCGCAGCCGCAACTGCTTCCAGGCCCGTGCTAATAACCTTAGCTACCACACAAATTGCAAAACATTTGTACATATCACTGAACAGCAAGAGATAATGGCTCAACCACCTCGTTTTCAAGCTACAATTCATCCTATGAACCCACCCCGCTTTTCAGCTTTTCAGGTTATTACTAGTATTGTTAATGATGAAAGAATAGGACAGAGAGAGAGAGATTTGAGTGATTTGAGTGATAATATTATAATTAAATGCAACATATGAAGCAGTTTTGTGACCGTATAGAATTTGCAATTAGTGAAAACCAATGATAAATTATGTACTCACTAAGACCACACAGTTTCGCGTTACACGGACTGTTTCTGTCCGGAGCATCAGAACAACATTCACTGCAATTCACCCAAACCGCTTGACGCTGTCTTCTTCCGAAACCAGTATAATGAAATTCCCGCATCATAGTACACACCTAAATAATAAAAATGCCTTTTATAATGAAAGAAAAACGATTGCTTCTGAAAATAATCTCAGTATTCTAGGAGTTCTTTACATATATGAGGTCAAAAGCGGTGGTATCATATTTCAGTTTGCATAGTTTCGAAGGAATTTTGGATGAAAAAGGACCGCTGTCCTACACTACACGGTCATTGAGAATAGAAGAAGGGCAGCGCCGCGAGAATTCCATCGGCATCGAAAGCAAGATTTTTTGACTTGCCTAGATAGCCGAGTTGTCTAGCACGCTGTTCCTGAACCGCTAAGAGACAGATACCGAAGGTCGAGAGTTCAACCCCGGGCTGGGGCGGAAGTGGGTATCCATGCAAAAGGGAATTTCTTTGTGCTTTCTATATTAATATTTGAAAGAAATGAAAGAAATTTGTTTTCCTTGGTTTCACGTTCTGTTTCGGAAGTCTTGTTGTAGAACTTGTATATAGGAAACACTGTAAATTTAGGGAAAATGTTTTCAGCACATGTTCTGATATGTCCACTCGCGGCAGTGCACTGGTACTCGGTTTGACGAATCTTTTGACGATGGACAGTCGGTACCTAAGGGTGTCCCCGGTTTGGCTAATATAATGCTCGCCGCACCCTGAACATGTCATGACATAAATTTATTATATCAAATTGGAACTCTCGCAGGTAAAAGACGAATTGATAACGAATTTTCTTCCGTTTTCAAAATAAATTTTTAAACAGGGTTTTCTGTTAAAAGGGACGGGCTCTACATCTTAGATGATGACATTATTTAACACCGGAGGCTGTCTCTTTTGTATTGTTAAATTTGGCTCGTGTTAAAATATTCTTGAAGGAGGGGCTCTGTCTTTTCTTTTGATTTACCGAAATTCTCTGAACACGCCTTTCATATTTGGATCATTCTCTAAAATTTGCATGTTGGTTTGGATGGCTTGAAAAAATTCTTGTTTTTTTTATTGTGTGTAGATAGGTAGGGAGTGAGATTTTTTTCGGGTTTTCTTGTATCTGAAGTAGGCTGTTTCCGTCATGTAGTTTGGTGTGGTCTATTCCTTTTTCAATCAGTATGGTAGGATATAATGCCTTTGTTTTGATAATTCGCGTAACTCATGAAGTCTGACATTTAAAATATCCTTGTCCGATATTATGGTACAGAGTCGCCTTGCTAAATTATATGGAATGTTGTTCTTGATGTGTTTTGGATGAAGGAATCGTAGAGAAGGCTTTGTTTTGTGTCCGTGACCTTGTGATGTACGTCAGTAACGATTTTCCCATCTTCTTTCATGACCGTATCATCTAATCAAAGTACTGAACGCACTCGTGGGAGTTGAACATGGTGTATAACAAAATCTTTGATCGGGAGGTTAAGTGAGTAAACAATATTATTATTTCAAATACAGACAACTGTTTCAATTTTTTGTGTTGAAACAATCTTGAGAAAGACATTCAGAGACATTGAATAGCAAAAAAAAAAAAAAAATGGATGGGCCATAATGCTTGCCTGCCTACATTAGTCCCTTTTTTATACCCCCTGCTTGAAAAGCGGGAGGGTATTTATTAATCGGGAATTCCGTCCATCTGTTTGTTACTCTTTACGTATACCCATCTCTTATCCGCAACTCCTCTTACACCACTGAACGAAATTTTGATAGAATTTTTATTACATATTGCCGTTGTGCACCTTCTATCACTTTTCATCCTACACATAATTTCGGTTTCCCACTGCAAAACATGTTCATATTAGAGGTGGTTGATCATTTATAGAAATCACTGCTCACATGCAGTCTTCAAATTTGTTATATATTTTTCCTTGGCACCTTTACCCATGTGTTATAAAAAATTTCAGTTTCGCAGGAATAATATCAATATTGACATAATGTTGATTTTAACACAGCATCCTTTTAAGAGTTAACAGGTTTGTTATATAAAACTTCTCTGTGAATATAAATGTATTTCAGTTACACGAACATTATACATGGAGTACGTCAGAACTTAATCTTTTTTAATATTGTAAAGAAAAAAGCAATACCAAGTTAAAAACAAATATTTAATGACCAAACATAAAAACAGTGGTATATGTGAGAGTTTGTGTGCGTAAAAATTATCTGGTATGTAAATGAGGTTTTCCTTTCATTAAAAAAATATACTTCATTTTGTTGTTTTAATCGCGATTTTACGAAAACATGGGTGTCCGTTTTTGGTTTTACTATTAACATTTATAACAGAGTACTAGATGTAACACTTTTGGAAGGTGATACTGCTGATTTACTAATAAATACGCATATTTCCAAAAGTTTTAATGCATTAATGAATTAATTTAAACCAAGGAAATGTTCATGAAAAGTTTGAATAAATTCTCTGCACCGGTAAAAAAGATATTGCTAAAAATCCGGGACCGCCGGGCGTCGAGAAGACTAGATTCACCGCTTGCCGTCAGTATGTAGAGTTGTCGTTCGCATCTCTTTCAGTGTATGACGCTACACTGAAAATGAGCTCCATTACGAAAAATTTTTGAGGTTCTTTATAATTTAGTTATACTTAACGAAATCTAATATTCAAAATAAGATTACTTTATCATTACATTTACTTACATTTCAAATTATGAAAATTAGATCAATTCAGGAGAAAAAGACATGAACTATTTGTGGCGGATGTTTATGTATGTTTATCGGAGTAAGTCGGGCGACACAGTAGCCTCGCTTTCGGGTCTATATAATCAAAACAAATTACTGCGCATGTTAAATACGTGATGACCATGGGAGATTGAACATAGTCCAACTCCCAAAAATGGTAACTTGCTTTCGTCACTCTCCGTTGTAAATGTTACGTTGGGGTTCATGTTGTTTAAAATATCATAGAAACTTTGTAATCCATCGGTAATTCTACCGATGAATTACAAAGTTCCTAACAAGAAACCTGTTTTGAGCGACATCCTGCGTTGTATTTGATGCTACGATCTCCATGTGTTCCTTTTTCCAGATAGCATTCCTAAAAATAGGATGTTCCGATCAATTTTTTAAACAAGAAATTTGCATGTTTTAGATCACACAGTCATATTCACAGTTATAATCTTAAATGTGGAATACTAATAGAAATTTCAACGTTTAAGTAGCGATCTTCAGCAAATGAAAAGTTGCGTTCTTTATATTCTGTAAGGTATTTAAAACTTTTCATTAAATATTTATTAATCAAAAAATCATACATTAAATATTTAAGTATATATAAGATGTATCCTTTCATTTACAAAATGACGTGTTAGATTTCTAACTATATCACTTGCATGTCGTATTAATGTTTTCCTCTTTATATATGAAGCCTCATATAAAATTCGATTTTTATATATCATAAAAATATTTGGGACATGTTTTCAAGATTTACAAAATAACTGAAAATATAACATAAATCTCTCAAGTAAAAAAAAAACATGCTTTTTGTTTCTTTTTACGTTAGATTTATTGATTTTGCAATACGCAGAATTTTGTTTTACCAAAATTGAATACAATATATTCAAAGAAAGCATCTTATTGTTTGTTTCTATAGCTGTTTTATATATTAATTGACAGGTTCGAGAAAAATACTTAAAATTCCGCATTTTCATTTATACGTTACGTCAACCTTAACAACAAGGAAGAGACATATTATAGTAGATGTTCAACATTTCTTTATTATCTAAAGTAACAGATAGCTTTAGTAAAGAAGTAAATTAGTAAATTAGGAATTAAAAAACATGCAGCGGTTATAATTAAAGTGTCCTATTTCTATCTTTTCCACCTTAACACCACTTTACCTCATTGTCACCACAATCAAAGACGTTTGTAATACAGTCTTGAATATCAGCTACATCCATACATCGCATACAGGTTGGTCCAGCCTGAAGTAAACCTGTATGAAAATTGTTTTTAAAAGAATTGTCCTTATAATTATTATTGAACAAAAGGAAACTGATATTTTCATAAGTAACTTACCATATAGGGCGAAGAAGATTGTTGTAACTACAAATGAATTATTACAAGCATGATAATATTTTTGACCTGCTAGCTGTAATACATTAGTATAAGCAAATAAAATTCATATAAAATTAAATGAATATACTCACAAAATGTTCTCATACCTTAAAAAATTAAGAAACATCTAATAAACAGCTTGTCTTAAAATTTGAGATATTTGGAATATATTGAGTTAAACTTTACTTTTATCATCAAAACTTATAATATAAACAGACATATGATCATAAGCAAAAAAAAAATGAGAATGTAGATGTAAATATTAACAATATGAAAATGTACTTATAAAAATACTAATTAGTTTAAATTGCTACTAATATGCATGGAATAAGCACTTCTGGTTGGAAGCTGTTTTTGGCAATATGGGCCTTGATTATTTAGAGATAACCAAATTGATATTTCTGAAAACTACTCACTTGCTGTCCGATTCTCCGCTAATAATCTGAAAGCAACTTTTAGCCTAGTGTCTCTTTTATCTTTGACGACCCAGTTACGAAAAAGCCGACCTTCACATGACAGCAGACCAAAAAGTTTATCTGTATGACACATGAGAGAACCCGTTCATCGTTATTCCCTTTGTCTCTTAGTAACATTTCAACAAATATCAGCATCATCAAATAAATTACGATACCTTTATAAACAAGAGGCCCATGGGCCTTATAGGTCACCTGAGCATTTTGCAACAACGTTCCAGTGATTGAATTTGACTCATGTTTTAAGCCAGATGCTATGGCATTCACAATTTTGAAAGAGCCACCATTGATCATCATAACAATACACTTAGCAGTTGCTTAGTTTGTTTACTTAATGCCCATACCCGGGGTAGGGGAACAAAAATTGCATTTCAATTAATCAGTAATATTCAGCAATAATCAGTAGTACCCCTACCACACTTGAACCCCTGACCTTTAGGCCTTGATATTTGATAAATACCAAGGAGCAGATTTCAAACCATTCATTCATTTTCAGTATATAAGTAGAGGCCCCACCACTCTATGGTACCCCTGACCCTGGGGCCTTGAAATTCGCAATTCTGGAAGATTAGGGCCCTTGTCCATCCTAACTATATAGTTACTTCATCTGCTTAATACCCTGGAGCAGAGAAGAAAATTTTCAAAGATTTAATGTATTTTCACTATATAATCAATAGAGCCCCGCCATGACACCAGAACTCCTGACACTGGGGCTATAAAATTCACAATTTGGGAAGAGGCATTCTTGCTCATTATAACTAAGTACTTAGTAAGTTTATTTAATTCCTAGGAGTAGAGAAGAAGTTTTCAAAGAATTCATGTATTTTCACTATATAATCAATAGAGCCCCGCCCTAACACCAGAACCCATGACCCTGGGGCCATAAAATTCATTATTTTGGTAGAGGCACTATTGCTAATCATAACTATCTACTTCGATACTTTATTTATTACCCAGGAGCAGAGAAGAAGATTTTCAAAGAATTCATGTATTTTCACTATATAATCAATAGAGCCCCGCCCTAACACCCCTGACCCTGGGGCTATAAAATTCACAATTTTGGTAGAGGCACTCTTGCTCATCATAACTATGTACTTAGTTAGTTTATTTAATACCCAGGAGCGGAGAAGAAGACTTTCAAAGAATTCATGTATTTTCACCATATAATCAACAGAGCCCCGCCTAACACCAGAACCCCTGACCCTGGGGCTATAAAATTCACAATTTTGGTAGAGGCACTCTTGCTTATTACAACTATGTATTTAGTTGGTTTATTTAATACCCAGAAGCAGAGAAGAAGATTTTCAAAGAAATAATGCATTTTCACTACCTAATTATTTAGCCCCGCCCTAACACTAGAACACCTGACCCCAGGGCCATGAATTTTACAATTTTGGAAGAGAACTCATTGCTTATTACAATCATGCAAACAGTTTGACTGCTTGATGTCCAGGAGTAAAGAAGAAGATTTTTAAAGATTGCATTAATTTTAGTGGTTTTGGCCCAACCCCTCAGGCCCCAGAGGGCAGAGATCATGAAATTCACAATTTTTTTTCCCCTTCACCCATAGATGCTTTGTGCCAAATTAGGTTGAAATTGGTTCAGTGGTTGCAGAGAAGAAGCTGAAAATGTTCAAATGTTAACGCACGACGACGGACGAAAACGGATAGCAATAGGTCACCTGAGTTTACTCAGGTGATCTAAAAAGAGAATAAGTGCGGGCCAAGGTCAAATCCGAGCAAATTATGATTATTAAAGGTGGTTTGAGTGCTTTGTGTTTCAAAATTTGTTTTGGAATAATAAAAGAATTTATGACTTTTTTAATTAACCCAATTTTAATTACATAAAATGATGCAAATCACATTAAATGGTTATGTAATTATAACCTAATAAAAATTTGACATGCAATTATGAATATTCGATTATTGACCCCAATAATATTTTAATCAATATCAATTAATAACTCCCATTACTTTTCCTATTAATGATGTAAATGATGAAATAGTCTACTTGAAAAGGACAAGGAAGGTCCAATTTTTGTTTCCTTGACACCAGAATATTGGCTCGAATCTGTGATTTTGGATAATGCAGATCATAAGATTTTAAAACCGCACGTTTTACTGAAGAAAATGCAGCTAAACCAATCCGTCTATTCCTTAAACTTCAATATGCCAATAAAAGAATTGACGCTGTCAATATAGGTAATATTCTGAATCACAAAAGTCAAGTCTTGTATTTCACCATATTTCAAGTTAAAGACTAAACCTTGTATTTCTTACAAATATACGTCGGTCTCTTTCTTTAGTTTTCACTAAGATATTGAAAGAAGTGAAGGAAAAACTTCAAGAGTACTGTGCAACAATATATTCAAGGAGTGGTGTGAATCAAATGTGGATACTCAAAAGTTGCAAAGAACTTTCGGAAAATTTGAAATCACAAGATTTTACCAAAATCAACATCTTAAAAACTTACAACTTTTCAACTTTATTCTCAACCATTCCCCACAATAAATTAAATTAAGTTCAGACATTTTTGACATCATTGTCAGCTGCTTTTTTAAATGAAAATTGAACTCCTAAATTTACATACATATTCATGTACCTGGTCATTGGTCATTTGCAAAATTATTTTAGTAAAACACATTGTGATTACATACACAGGTTATCTGAAGTTGATATAAAAAAGATGTTTGAGTTTATGATTGACAATATCTACGTGATTTTGGAGACCAGGTCTTCCAACAATTTATTGGAAATCCCATGAGTACCAACTGCGCTCCGTTAACAGCAGACCTGTTTTTGTGTTCATATGAAGCAGAATTTGTGCAAAGTCTTATTCTTGGAGGAGTAAACACTTGTGCTGTGGCCTTCAACTCAACATTTAGATGTATTGATGACGTATTGTCAATTCCATTCCTATGTCAATACGATATATCCTGGTGAGCTTGATTCGATACGCAAGAGCTTGCTCTACGTATAAATAATTTCTGAAACGATGTAAATTATTGACAAACAAGTTGATGAAACAAGAATATCAGCAGTCTCATTGAAAGGCATCATTTCGTAAGATCTATGGTTGATACAATGACCTTGTCTGCAAATTCAATTTATCTTTGAGTCAAATGCTGACAAAACTTCTTCAAATTAATTGTTAGTCCATTATTTATACACTGAATTGACGACGGATTTTTCCGTTATTTGCCGATCATGACAAGGAGCACATGGCGGGTGTGTACTGTCGTCAGGGGATGATCATTTCTACATGGAACCTAATCTGTTGTTATGATATTTTGCTCTGCTCCTATTTTGTATTGTTTTATGAACTTTGATTTGTCTTACGAAACATTACCAGGGTTAAAGGATTTGTTATGTTCCCGATGTATAATTTAATCTCATATTTTCAGCTTTCACTGCATTTCACTCCCGGTAATTTGCTTAGGATTTCCGACATTTTTAAAATTTCATTTCTGACAATTTTATTTCATTATAGAAAATTTTTAGTATTTCCAGAATATATGCACGGTTCCATTATGGCATTTTTTTGTTTGCAAAACAGGTGGAAAGAGAATTTTAAATGAATTTTCAAACTACATTTTCAAAATATAAATAAATACACATAATACAATGCATTTTAATACAAGTAGTAATGATATTTAAGTATTTTCCCTTGTGCTACATGTACATAGGTATGTGATGTCTTCATATTTAAAACATTCTTCTGTCTTCAGAGAATTCCTTTAACGATGATGAATATTTACATGGCCGTGTAGGAATGGGGGAGGGACCATTATTGCCGAAATATAGAATACTATAGAAAACTTCTCTACAATACCAGTATACTTGCGCCCCCTCAATAATAATGTTTGACGATTCTTTATTTTATTTTTTTTTTTTGTTTGCCAAGGAATGTTTGGTAGTTGATAGCGCCCCAAACTGAAAAAAAGTATGGTTGTGACCCCCCACCTCACACACACACAAACACACTGAAATTGCATCCTATGGGCCTGCTTTTTTTTTTTTTTTTTTTTTTTTTTTTACAACGAATGGTTTCTGTATGCTTTTTAATTTCCACTCTTGCATATCTAATTTCAAACTTAAACCTGAATAATCAAAAAGGTGGTGAACACTTTCATGTGCCTCGGGGATTTTTAGGTCACATGAGTCACTCAGGTGACCTACATGTATTGCTATCTGTTTTCGTCCGTCGTCGTACGTCGTTTGTCGGTCGCAAACTTTTGAGCAATTTTAGCTTCTTCTCTAGAACCACTGAACCAATTTAAACAAATTTAATATATAGCATTTATGGGTTAAGGGAAACAAAATTTGTAAATTTCACGGTCCCTGCCTCCCTGGGGCCTGGGGGGCGGGGCGAACACTCTTAAATTCAAACAATCTTTATAAATATTTAAAAACAAATTTACTCCTGGACATCAAGCAGTCAAATTGTTGGCATGATTGTAAAAAGCATTGAGTCCTCTACCAAAATTGTAAAAATTATGGTCCCACTTTTAATGGT